AAGCTGCTTTTTAAAATAGATCCACAATCTTCATCTCTTCTTGCTGTCACCCCTTATAAAAGCAAACCCTGTTAAAATTCAAATTATCCTCTGGGATGCTGAAATTAGCATCCTGAAATATTCATGGCTAGCTTCTAAACTTGTATTGCACACCTCAGAGGAATTGAACAGGTACTGTATCAACAGCGGCTGTGTTTGTAAATCTTTCATGAGCAGCATGCCGCAGGACTTAGATCAGTGAATTCTTCACGTTAAACACGTGTCAGGTACATTGATTTTCTCCGTTTAAATTGCAAAATACTGTATTTTCAAGTACAACTGCCAAAAAAGTTGAACTATGCTAATAGAAGGCTTCCATGTTTGTTTTGTTTCTGACCATTTACAGGCTGTATCTACAATTAGATGACCCAATCACGATCCACGGTTCCCCATCTCAGCAGAATCCCAGAGTTGATGAATCTCATAATGAAATGTGTTTTGTTGACACCAGCATGGTTCTGCTTTTTTCCACACAGATAACCCACAGTACTTGATCAGGGAATAGCTAACGAATCGGATCAATGTGCAGAATCGATAATGGCATCAGTATCAATCAAATCTTATCAACTCCCATTCCTGTTTACCTGTGGGTAAACATCGCTTCAACAAACCGAAGGTCATATTATCTGACAGGTTGTAACTCTGCTCATGTCTGTTTTACAACCCTGAAGTCTTTTTAGGTTTTCAACCTCAGAATTATTCAAGAAACAAAAGTTTTATGATCTATAACAGATTGTACAAATGCCACGAAAAACTACAGAGACACCTTTAAATGCCCCACACCTGTGCACACAGATTGGTAGGGGAATTGCTCACCTAAGATCAGGTTCAGGAAGAAACTTTTAAGAAGACTATACCGGTAGCCCAAAGGTATTGAAACTTTAGAGTGCACACATAAATTATGATGCGGAGGAGCTGATGAAAAATGAGCTTTTTCTTCCTCTTTTAGGACCACAGAGGGGTTTTTCAGTAGGGATATAAATTTTCATTGCACAAACAACTATGTGTGGAAGGCAGTGGTTCTTAACGTGACTGTTTTTTTGATGTTACCTTTCTCTGCAGATGTAACACCTACAGTAACCATCCTAATAATTACTAATTAACACTACAATTAACTTAAAGTGCTTTTTTTTTACTGCAGGTCATATTCACCAGTTCAGTACTAATTAATAAGTAAACACAGATTGCTCACTCTGTCAGAGAAATTTGAGGTTTGATGTCCAGAAAAGGGACTGTTCAACATTTGACTGAAGGAGCTGGGATCAAACTATCAACTTCCCAGTTAAGACACTAGATTGAAACTGAGTCCACTACTGAGCCACAAATCGCCCTGTAGAGCCCTGCTACAAGAGTGTCATGATGTTGTGTCTTGATGCTTTAATACGACCACAATACAAAACACAACAACACCCCTTGTGTATACAGATTTTTTTAAATATCTGTACATATGCAGACCGAACATCATTGACGTGATTGATCTAGATGGTGTTCTTTAACTTGCAATGACAGTCATTGGCTGAGTTCATAACTGCATACTTTGATTCTACAATTAAAGTATGGTATTATATTGAGAATGTAGTACTTTCATAGCTTATAGTAAAAAAAATTGTGAAGTCTAACCGAGGAGTTCTTAGATGTACACCAGACTGGCCAGAATTCGAAGGTGTAGGACAAGAGCCACCCTAAAATGTTTATTGCAGCTCTTCATGGGTATTGATGAACTTGCCTCTTGGTAATAAAGATCATACAACCATTATATTGGCAAAAATATATATAACTATAGCTGTATAAGCTTTTATATTGATGTTGAATCCCATAAAAAGCCTCATGGGTGTGCTTGCTTAGCAGGTACATGATTGATTAAGTCTTACAACAAGGTGTTTTATGAAGCTAATGGTTAATTTGCATACCAAGATAGTAAAAATTACATACTGTTTCAGGATGATATATGTCCACAACCTCTTTTTCTTGACCCCCTTCACCAACTTATCATCCTGTCACCCTTTCCTGACCTCATCAGGCACACCGTAAGCCGAGTTTGTGAAGATGAAAAAAAAATATGATCAAAGAAGTTGTTATTAAAGTTCAATCATTTCATGTTTCCTTCATGTACTCACTGTTTCAAAGTGTCCCCCCTGTAATTAGTTTTGCTTTTGTTAGCATGGGTTTAATCTGGTGATTTTTATTTGACCCTTCAGAGCCTCTGAAGACAAAGGACTTGGAATAATGTTTACTAATCAGACGGATCGACCACAGCTCTTATTAAAAATCAAAGTTATAATCACCTGCATGATCCTTTTGAGCCTGTTTGTCTTTGATGGAGCCACTAGAAACTCCAGCAGATTGGAAAATTACCTACAAGGTCATCGACAAGAAAAGGATGCATTCAAATTCAACGGGACAAATGAAGACTGCAGATTTTTGTGAGGACCCATTTCACCAAAAGATGTCTAATTTCATACTTATTTCCAGGCTTTGCAGAGAGAACTTGAGTTACTTTTCATTTGCATCTGTCTTATGTTCTCACCTGCCTCCCTGCTACGTATTGTTTCCATCAGGTTTGAGCTATGGGAAAAATGCAAATACCACAAGTGATGTGCAAATTGCAAAGATGGCAATGATGTGCAAGCTCGAACCACAGAAGTAATGTGCAAACAGAAAGGACAGGAGCGATGTGCAGACTAAAATGAACAGAGCTGAGCGATGGAGGGATGAAAAGGCGTCTGCAAACAGAAAGCACAACAGATGTCAGAGCGCATTTAGCAGCAGGTATTAAGGGCATTAGGCAGATGCAAATGACTCTGAAAGGTAACACAGTGCAGACAATGACAACAGGCAAATATGGAAAAACAATTTAATCATTAAAAATGAATAGAAGAGACTGATACACTTAAAAATGGGAAACAGGAATTTATATAGTCACACTTCTTACTGTGAATGCTGCTCTTACAGGAAGAGCTTTCTTGTATGATTTATACACAAGGTTAAAATATTGTAAAGCTGAAGGCTACTCGCATCCGCAGCCCTGGAAACTGATCACCTTCAGGTAAGTTCAACAACGCAAACACGGTCAATGAAGCGAATAGAGCCTTCAACATTTTCCCTTTATTCTTCACTGAATAAATGTTTGAAAATATAAACAAGATATCTAAGACTCTTTCTCTAATATTCAGTTTTTCATATAAAGCTGTATAATTAGCCAGTTTAACAGACATTTACACCTTTCTTCTCTTTCAGCTTAACCCCTGTTTATTGTTTTTTCAAGGTTTATGTCCTCATCACAAAATGGCTTGAATCACACCTTTTGTTTTTCTACTCTTACAGCCGTACCTTCACTCTCTTTCTGCACACAGCATCTTGTGCCGCTCTTTTCCACGTAATTCTTTATGTCTGCTGGTTAGGTCCTTTATCACATAACAACTGTGTAAAATGCCAGTTACTGTCTACTTGGACCTTTTCCCCTCATTAATCACCTGTACTGTTGTCCTCTCACTGTGTGCACCACCATCTACTGCATCTTTCTGTTTCTCTCACTTTGCAGCATTTAGCAAGTTACAGTGGAGAGGAAAGACTTCCTTTAACAGGCAGAAACCTTGAGCAGAACCAGATTCACCTAAGGCTAATAGAGGGAGATGCAGACAGAGATTAAATTGATGCAGGTAGTTGAAAGCAGACAGGTCCAAGCCGGTCAAATGTCTGCAGCAGCAGCAATATAGAAGAACCTACTTCCCAGTGGAGCACAGGGACTCCCAAAAAAGACTGGATTAGTAACTCTAAAGGGACATGATGATTCAGAGTTAATCAGTATGTACCCATAATCCTGTCAAAGGCATGACACATTTGCACAACACCACAGTACTATCGTATGCTTCCTAACTTCCTGATCACAGGGTACAGGTCTGAGGAATACTTCCTGTAATTCTTACTGTCTCCACACACCAGGCGCAAGTAAAATCATTCGTGACTGAATTACGTGTTAAGTCAATGTAAAGAAGCGATTAGACACTACTCTGGAAGCTGAATATGTCTCAGTTTCGCCTCCTGATAACTTATCAGTACAAAGGTTGCTGAGTGACGGATGAAAACGGACGGATGGTATCTAAAATGGAGGACAAACTGATTGTGTCGGGGTGTGGGTGACCTGAATTACATGATACCTTTTCTTTCAATTACCAAAACCGGAATGAAAAGGAGCTCGCCTGTAGGCCAGTGAATGAGGAGGTTGGAATACCTGGTAACTTGTAAAAAACCTTTGTCTATCACTTGATCCAGCTGGTTGAACTGGCAGGGATTATTGTTGAAATTACCGTGGATGAAGTGAGGAAATACAGTTCATTCACACGTCTAGATTTGTGCAAATTAAGCGAGTAGATGATTTTACTCGCGCTTGGTGTGAGCGCCTCCTTTAAGTGGACTCAAGTGAAACCAGCATATACAAAAAACAGCAAAACTATATTTCAAGATAAACCAAAAGTTCTGAATTGTTAGCTCCCATAGTGGTTTAATGTCTTACTGCTATGTACGAGGTTTATAAAACCTATTAAAGCAGCAGATCTGACAAGACAAAACTGTGTAAAATCCTGTCATGTCTCCCTCAAATTAAGTGTTTTGCAATTGTGTGTATGGACATTGACTTTATTAACACAAAGGACCCTTCTGCATCGAGTGTTTCCATTTTCAGGCTAATCAGATAAATGCCTGTTTGTTCTCCAGCGAGTGGACTAAGCAGTTTTCAGGGACAACAATGATTCAGTGAGCACCCGGCAAACATTGCAGCTTCATGGTTTGTTTTGTGAGCTACTGTGATTGACAGAGGGTCCTAATAGAAGGCACCGAAACCATCTTTGAAACTTGAACAGTTGGAGCCAATTTTCCCCTCTGCCTCCAGCAAGAAGAGCCGGATGCAGGACACAGGCATGCTGCGCAACTGCAGACTCTTCAGGGGGAATTGAAATTCTCTGCAGGGCAAGAAAAAGGGAGTCTTTCAATGACCTGGATTGCACCCTCCTTTGCTCACAGCATGAGATATTTTTAATAAGGGGCACACACCTCTACTTTCCATATGTAAGGCCTGGGAATTTGTTTTCACTCAACAAGCAAAGTTAGGATTCGTGAAGTTTCAGACTGCAAACATAAACAGCTGGAGAGCTGGATGTGTGGACAGGAGTTGCCACCTGTCAATCAGCGATACGTTCAGGATCCACATTTGATGTGTTTCTGGCAATCTGCAACTTATTGTCTCTGATCAGAAGTGCCTGAAATGTCGCTAAGCAACAACTTGAGGACCTCCTGCTCAGCCCGAGCCCTGAGCAGCTGCAGATGAGAATGATTCGAGTGTTAGTTTACTGTGGTTGACATTGTTCAATCATGTCACCACTCTGAGGCTTCCTCTAATTAGGAAACTCGGCTGAACTCTTTCCCCAGAATATAAATCTGATGAGGAGGAACCGATATGCAGCATGGTGACGATTAGAAGTTATCTCAGTTAGTTTTGCAGTAAACATTCAAAGAATTCTCTTGCTGAGGGAGCATTCAGAGGAGTGATTTCCAAGTAAAGGCAGGACGTAATTCAAGTGGCGGCGACGAAATGAGCATCAAATTAGTTAAAGGAAGTCTGTTGAGGAAAGCTGAGCAGATGGGCAGTTAATGGAAGTAAGAGTCTGGGTAGAGCAGAAGGCAGAGGGGTGTACACTGCAAAAGAAAAAGTTTAAGTGGAATTAAGCTACATCCATAATTCAAAATAGGAAGCTATACTTATCTTAAGCACTTAATAGGTGGGTACTTGTTGTAATTGCATGTAAAATACACAAAATTTTGTTTGGCAGCAATCGACTTCATTGCAGCATAAAACTCTGTACATGGGCAAAAGATGAAAAAAAAAACAGCAGCCCCCTCTAAGATTTAAAGCTCCCTTTGTTGACTGGCAAGAGGTAAAGGTGGTAAAGCCAATGACCTCCATGTTAACAGATGGGACATGGGTCCAAGTTTAAATTCAAATGAAAACTCATGATTTGATTGTTTTACATATTCCGTTAAGAAGCTACCTTGTCTCTTGATCCATGGTGAGATCATTGACAGCTTCCCTCTCTGATCAGGATTGTTTGAAGAGACTCAGTAAAAGACAAGTGACCAGTAGTGGGAGCTGGTGTCACTGTCATTCTGTTGGTGGCAGGCAGTTGCTAACTCACACTATCGTTAGCGGACCCCATTACTGTAGGAATAATAAAAACAGATGGCTCTAGACAGAGCTACACAGCCTCACAGAAACTGTACATTGCCGAACCCACAGCTCAAACCCTTTTCCCCCCACAGGAAAGAGATTCCACTTGCATGCAACAAACATCCTGGATTTTGTGGTAGCATTAAGCTGCTTACCCGGGATTTCCACCACATCCGGAACGGCTCTGATCCGGAATGGCTGTGATTTTCACCATATTCCAATTTCTACCGGATCCATTCGTGATTGGCTAAGATTGGCGGATACGGCCTTGTGGTAGCCGTTCTGGATGCGGTGGAAATTGGGGGTTAGAGTGGTGATGTGACCTCATGATTGACAGCTTTGTTGCCAATTTATAGAAGAGGAATGACAAACGCAAACTGAGTCACTGATGTTTCACCAACCCCGAGTTTCTGCTTTAAACCAGCAGGAGAGCCTGTTTCACTGCAGACTGAGCCCATCTGAGAGACCTCTGTGCTTTTGTCAGTTAAATGTTTTGGTTAGCTAATGACCAACGTGCAAGAGGCGTCATCCATGTATACAGTCGATGATATGCACACATGCATGTACATAGATTTGTGAAAAAATACTTGCAAAATTTGCAAGATATACTTACAAAAGTGGATACAGTGGTAGAGTCCCATTAATTGTGATAATATTGATAGTCATAGCTAAACCACAGTGTTGCATCCAAACTCAATGAGCTATGAGTTCATTTAGTTTCAGAAATAAGTTGCAGTATCCTTCATTAAATCAAGAAAATGTCTCGCCTTAAGATACAGAAACTACTTTATATTCAGGGATTCTTTACCCCCGCACACATTATAGATTTTATACTGAAATAAATAAATAAGACATTGTGAGACTAAATAAGTTTGCAGCCGAGAGGAACTTCTGAGAGGGTTTCAGAGGCAACATTTCTCACCAGTGAGGCTTGAACTTGCAGTGAACCAAACCCGTGCTCACCACCGACTGAGACTATGTGTGCGTCAGAGGACTGCCCTGATTACTGACAATGTGTAACACGATAACTGAGCTCTGATGTAGCTCACGTCATTCAGACTGAAAGGTGGAGGAAAAACAGGGAATAAGGATAAGTTTCTCTCAGTTTACACATCTCGTCTTGAGGCCACAAAGCTGAGCTGCTGCTGCTGCCAGAGAAGAAATAACAGCCCTGACATCACTGAGTGATGGCACGGCCAGCAGCGTAATGTGGTTAAAACTGGCAGCCTGCAGAAAAGCTGCAAATCTTTAATCTCCTAAGAGGAAGGATGCAGGCAGCAGGATTGGGTCAGATTCCCGAGTAAATATGCAAATGTGATGCTCTCACAAAAGGAAGATTCATGTCCAAAACCGAGGAAGGGAGGCAGGGACCTTATGCAGAAATAATAGCAGCCTTATCAATGTTTAGCTAGTACTTAAGGTTTGTTTGCATCCCGAAGAACCCTCTCCTTTTATTTATTGAGGTAGCACATAGCGTAAAAGCACTTACCTTACATAACAATGATATTCAACCATGCTGCTTTGGTTTGAGATATAGCCCACAGACACTGTAATAACACTGCCATTATGTGTGCTGAATGTTTCTTAGACGACACCCAAAGACGGATCTGCGTTTACATTTTGCTGCAATCTGACCTTCAATGCTCACACATACGCCAATATCAGACCATTATCCGGCTCATTATTGGAGGCTATCAGCGCCATTAGAATGCTTTAGATGAAGGCAACTGCACCTAGAAAGGCCATAACCATCTATTCTCATCTCTGCATCCTTGGTAACATCCCCAGCAGAGATCTACCAGACCCTTGTTGTTCTGTAAGGAACAAACAATGCAGTTAGGGGATTAATGGTTTGGTTTTTAGTTAAGTTCTTGATACTACTTTGTGGCTTGGCTTTGACCTTTTGCATCATATTCTACTAAAGGCCTTCTCCTATTCTTTGCATCCAGCATAATCACTTCAAGTGATTCCTCCTCAAGCTAAACAAGCAGTACTCAACCTCTAGCAACAGATGACGACAGCCTCCTTACTGATGAGGAGTTACTGTCATATCACTGTTGCCAAAGTCATTATAAAGGACATTCAATGCACTGATTAAACCCAACAAAGCTGTCCCCTACTGCTTCCTGTTGACTGTGACAGCAGTGCACCAGGTTGGATTAACACCAGTGACAATCACCGAATAACCTTGATCAAGCTATCCTAACATTTTCTGCATTTTAGACATTATGCTTTGGCAACAGCAACAGCTTGATAACAGTAGAGAGAAAATGCCGTGTAATGTAACTTTAATTTATACGCATCAAGCAACATTAAACTGTAATCCAACGTCAAATACATTTCTTCTCGTGTAGTTTCCATATGTTTGCAAACACAGCAGGACCGTCATGGTTACATGCAACTCTCAGTTGATTAACTTGCAAGCTAGAAGAAAGATGTTCTGTATATGGCCACTTTATTTACCGCCTGGAAACGAACAGCAAAATGCCACCTACAAGCCTCCTGCAGAGGGACAAAATTATTAATAAATATATAGTGTTCATACTCGTCCTAAGAATATCTCTGTCCCCTACTTGGCTGTTGAGTGAAGTTAAGTGTCCACCCACATCCTCCAGTTCTCCCCAGTGACCTTCACATAGTTGTCAGAAGTGCAGTAACAAAAGTAGCTGTTAAAGCAGAAAATGATGTACTTTCTACTTTCTCTACAGTTTGCAGGAAAACGTGTTGATGTTATAAGGAGAAGCCGCCACAGTGATGGTGGCTGGTTGACTTCAGGGTATTGGACAGATCTGTCTACAGTGTGAAAGTCCTATATATTGAAAAAATGTTTGTAAAGCTACAGTTAGAAGTTTGAAATCAACATGGATTCCCATTGTAACCTACATAAGCAACCAGAACTATCAGCATAAGAACTGATTATTTCTTTATGGCCTTTTTTAGTTTGTATAACGTGTATCGGGGGTTAGGCGATAAACTAGGCATAAATAAAAAACTGTAGAAAAAGCCTTTGTTTACATTTTTCCCAGTAAGGGTTCACAATAATTGATATGACTGACCAGTAAATGCAAGCAGGATCTTTTGTTGTAGTTGTCGTTATACCAACCTTCCTGCAATGGACAAACAAAGCAAAGAGATAAGGGAGCCGCCTTATCAACAGGGGCCAAAATTGACAAGCCAAAAGTTCCTTACTGTTGCTTTAATTCATTTAATAAGTAAAAACAATTGTTGTCAGAAATATAATAGCTTTTTCAATCACTACATTCATGTTAATCGGTAGATTCCTGAAACAACCGTTTAGCATTTAGAAATGACTTTATTGTGGTATCACCCAGTGGCAGTCAGCGGTACTGCATCTTCCTCTGAGCTTTATTTACCTCTACTAGTAGTAGAGTTATGTTGCCCCAAACTTTGTAGCTATTTTTCTTTAGATTTGCATGCATTTTTCTCCTGCTATCTTTCGAGCACTGGAGTATCTGTGTTTGAAACACCCTGCTGTGACCAAAACTTCCCCCAGTTTTCGTCAAGAGAGGTGTTATTAGAAACACTTCGTAAAAAAATGGAAGCCGTGAACACAACAACAATAATCACATAATTATAGATATAAGCCTATTATGTAATTGTTAGGAATTATTTGGATAAAATTAGGCAATGAGCAAGTGGTGACTATTTGTTTCTATGCTGTGTGGGCGGTTCTTGGACTGTGAGAACATATGCTAAAAAAACATGGTGTTTCTTTCCTTGTGGTAAGTGGAAAAAAATGTTTTTCTGCTCAGTTTTCAAGTGACCTCTTGATTCTTTGGGAATAATTAGTATGTTATATGAAGTAATTGGATTCATGTGAGTGCAAGATTATGATCAAGCTTTAAATTAGACTGATTCCTTATTGCCATGCATCTCCTCTCCATATAAAAGCCTTTTGTCCTGAGAGATTACTGTGCGTGCCTCCTGCTGAGATTCTGATGAGGCTAACTGTGTGCATGGAGCATGTGCTTTTGAATCGTGGGGGCAGAAGAGCAACATGCAACAGCGTTCCCTGTGGGGTAGCATGCAAAGAAGACATGTAAACTGGGGAGGGAGAGAGATTCACCATTTAATGAAGACGCTGCACAGAAAGCTAATGTACAGAGACTGGGGTGATCAATGAATGCACCATGCTGCATGTTGTGACAGGAAAATGTCAGCCATTTCTTGAAGGGCAGATGTTTTGTGCGGACTGGATGTCCTTTCTTTATTTCTCAAGAAATCTGTAACAGATAGGCAACAAGAAATTAAACTAAAACAGATAATATGATTGAATAAAAAGCAAATGCTGAACAAAAGTTTGAAAAGACAAGTCAAATCGTGGTCATCTCTATTCTCAATTCAATTTGGATAGCTTTATTTTGAATTCATGTATTCATATTTTCTCCATCAACGAAGGAAGAATCACATTTTTTTTTCCATAGAACTATATTTTTACTCTCTTTTTTTCCTTGAATAAAAAAGTAAGATGTTCATTTAATAGCTTCGTGGGACTGGTAAACCATTTGTATTCTCTTATAAATTAAAACTTTTTATGCATTTTGTGTTTTTATGCTAACCCATCAAGCTGCTGGGTGTTCTGATGAGTCTAAAGTTGTTCCCTCTTGTTGTAACTTACTTTAAAAACTCAAACTCCAACTTTGAAGCTGTTGCCTGGCATAAAAGGTTATTTTTAAACAGCAAAGACAAAGTCACTTTATTAAAAGTCAAAGCCAGGAAAGTCAAGAACAAACAGCAAGGCTGATATTATTAAAGACTTGTTACATGGATATTTTCTGAAACAGAAAGTGTGTGTGCATAACTTTGATAGTTAACTTTTCTCTAATTCAAATGTACGAATTCTGGCTTATGCTCCTTAGAGAAAAGTGGTTTTCTCATTATACTATATTTAGTCTTCAGGCACATGAGATTACTGTTTGTTCCCCCAAGTATGAATAAATCTTAAACAGTTGTCCCATGAGTCTAAAGTATTAAAATAGCACGCTAAAGTAAGCCTCTCTTTTTAGTCAAACACTTTTAAGAAGCATTTGGATTTGTGTGAAGCAAAGGTGTGTCCAGTGTTTGCCTGAGGTGGCCCAGCTGTAGCCTGGATCTAAAGACTGTGAGCAGGAGGTTGCATGCTATCTGCAAAAATGTTCATTTATCTATTATTTAAAGATTTAAAAAGGTAACTCTGGAAGCAAAAGTGCCCTTATTTAGTGTATGATCATTATTCAATCAGTCTTTAAGTGTATGGCACCGATTCACAACGAGTGTTTTCCCAAGATGCCTAACAAAAACCTGGTCTAGACCATACTGTATTTAAGATTAAGTACCATCTTGTAAGATCAAACCCACTCTCATCTTCAACCACACGAGTGTATCACTTTGCAGCTTTTATCAAGTTACCATGGAGAGGAGAAACTTCCTTTAACAGGCAGAAACCTCGAACAAAACCATCATGTTTGACAGCCATCTGCCACTGCTGCATCGGGTTTAGAGAGAGGATAGAGGGAGATGCTGAAAGAGAGACGTGGACAGAGGTGAGTTTGGTGAAATTACTTGGGTTTGGGCTTCAGGCAATGGGAGTTACTCGTGTTTTTGAGTTGTTAATGAGATGTAAAGTGTGTTCTTTGCAGTTTGTCAGACTGATAGCTCATGGATGTTACCGTGTTTCTCCAGGATCAGAAGAGCTGATAGATGTATAATGAGATGATGCATCTGAAAATCTCTTGGGTGGCTACAGGACCTAAGAGGGGGTTGGGAAAATGCTTGAAATACTGTAGCCTACCTTAGCTAGTGCATCTAATGCTGTGCGGTCAATTCAGAAACAAGACAGATTTTTAAAATGCGTTTATTATTCATTTATTTTTGGATAAGAACCTTTCACATAGGCTTATTTCTCAATTCAGGTGAACAGAACAGACTTTTTTCTTGAATTAATAGGAATCTAAAGCAGTGGTTCTCAACTGGTCTCACTCTGGGACCCACATTTTCCCATGGCCCTTAAGTCGCAACCCACTTTTATAAAATTCAAACCAAGCAAACTTATCAGAATCAGAAGTACTTCAATAATCCTCAGGAGGAAATTGCTTTTGTCACAGTAACTCCAGTGCAAATACAGTAAAAGAGGAGATAAATAATAGATAAAATAAGTAGAAATATAGAGATAATATACAAGTATTTACATTATTTACAACACAAATAGTGACATTGTATGCATGTATACAAACTTATTTTATATATATATAAAAAAACCTTTACAGACACAAATCTTTCATGTAAATACACCCATTCTGTTGAGTAAAGTGCATTTCAAAGCACATAAACTAAGGACGACAACTACTGAAGTTGTTTATACAGAAAATATCAAATTGCACAAAACGGAGACCAGCAAAATGAATGCAATAAATTGGATTTATTTGCATCACTGCAAAAGTGAATAAATATCAAATTGCACAAAATAAAGACAAAAACAAAAAAAAAGTATTTTTACTGCATTCAGGCCACATTAATAAGAAACCAAGAAGTATTACAAATTTACTTTTTGACCAGCTGTTCACGACCCATCCAGAACGTGTCGGCGACCCACTTTTGGGTCGGGACCCACTAGTTGAGAACCACTGATCTAAAGCATTTATTTTAAATGATGTGTTTTGAAATTGTTGCTTTGCCTAAATTTCATCTTGAAATGGTGTGAGCATTTCATCATTGCTTATTCATTGCCGTTTCCTCCGTAATGACTGAGAATTAAGACCAACACCAGGCTTAGAGAGAGAGAGAGAGAGAGAGAGAGAGAGAGAGAGAGAGAGAGAGAGAGAGAGAGAGAGAGAGAGAGAGAGAGAGAGAGAGAGAGAGAGAGAGAGAGAGCTGTGATGAGATGAATATTCCGCCTTCTCGCTCACTGTGAAGGATGAGGCTGAGCTCCTGAACTCACGGCTCCCTCTACAGTCTGAAAGGAGGAAATTTTCCATCCAGGGCAGGAAAACAATCAAACTGACTGTGTTGAACAGTCGCGAGGACACAAACGGAGACGCGTCCGGAGATCACACACACTCACACACACGCACAGACACACACTCACACATACACTGCCTTACTTGTGAGATGTGTGTCTGTAACTGCAGTGGGTTTCTCCTCAAACCTGCAGATACACTGACTTTACATCTGGATTAATTCTCTTTTGGGATCTACTGTTTTCTGCGGACAATCCGAAAAATGTCTCATGCTTTGAATACTTGAGGAGTGACGACAACTTTCCTCTTCCCGGACTTCTCGAGGGGGAAAAAAGGCGTACAGCGGATTTAACAATGCGAGCAGATACATTTCCCGATCAGGAGCTGCACGTTTAAGCAAGAGGCAGTTCGGGGGACATCCAGCGATGTGGTCTGCGGAGATGCGGGGTTTGCCGGGGTTCGTGTCCGCGGATGTTGCAGCTCGGTCGGGCTGCACACGGTGCCTTTGGGTGGCTGTGATTGGACCGGACACAGACTGGGGCTGACTGATGTTTGTTCGAGAGGAAATGTTTTGGGGAGGAGATCAATATGAGTTACTGGCGCACGCGAGGTGGGGGGGAGATGCCAGTCTTCACGAGCACACCTTTCACTATGAGGACGGAGGAAAGCAGGAAGGCATGTGGATTCTAATCTCTTGGATTTTAAAGCAAAATAGACATGAAAGATCCTCTTTTCAGACATTTATATGTGTGTAATGTCATGTGTTTGCAGACTGAAGATTCTTATCAGAGGTTATGGATCATTTCTGTTCTTGCACTAAAGTTTTTCCTCTCTTTTTGACTATCATGCATAAGACTTTAATATTGCATCATTTTCTCCCACGAAATCAAATTTTTTGGACTCTGAACAGATCTTTTTCACCTGGACTTTTAATGTACAACACCACTTAAATTATGGGACATAATTTTGAAGGAAGAAATCTTGAATTAATTTGAAATGTACTCAGAAATTCCCAGCAACATGGCATTAAACTGGGTTGTATATTCAGTTTTTTTAATACCACTATTCGCAGTGGGGACAGCTTTTTCTGGGGTCTTCAACGCCACAGACAGAGACATTTTTACAGACGATTTGCTGCAGGTCAGGCTCACACAAGACAGAGCTGCTGAGCAGTGGAAGCGCCAGTCCACTGATTCCCATCCCAACCTGTTTTTTAACCAAGTGGATGTGTTGCACTTGAGGCAAAGGTCCACCACCACCCACAGTCACATATTTAAAGTCATCCGGGCTGCCGCGCTCACTATGCTGTCTAATGCTCCCTACTACATGCCCCCCGCCAAACACGCCGAGTTTACAAGCAAGTGGAATGAGATTTATGGGAACAACCTGCCTCCCCTGGCGCTCTACTGCCTGTTGTGCCCAGAGGACTCTGCCGCCCTGCAGTTTCTTATCAAGTTTATGGATAGGATGGCTGAATACCCAGACTGGAAGGTGACCAGCGCTCCAAACGACGAGGTACCCATGGCGCACTCTCTCACCGGGTTTGCCACTGCTTTTGACTTTATTTACTCCTACCTGGATGCACAGCGGAGAGATATTTATCTAAAGAAAATCCGCTCTGAGACGGAGGAGCTGTATGAGCTGTCAAAGTACAGAGGATGGGGGAAACAGTATCTCCAAAACCATCAAACCACAAACATATTAGCCATCCTGACTGGTGCATTAGTGGTTGGATCACATGACGACCCAGAGACGATGATCTGGAAACAAGTGGCGGTGAACTACATGGAGAAAACCATGTTCCTTCTTAATCATGTTGTTGATGGCTCTCTTGATGAGGGGGTCGCCTATGGGAGCTACACCGCCAAGTCCATTACACAGTACGTCTTCTTGGCTCAGCGTCATTTCAGTATTGACAACTTGCACAACAACTGGCTGCGGGGACACTTCTGGTTTTATTACGCCACTCTGTTGCCAGGGTTTCAGAGGACTGTAGGCATCGCAGACTCCAACTACAACTGGTTTTATGGGCCAGAGAGTCAGCTTGTTTTCCTGGACACATTTGTCATGAAGAACGGGACAGGGAACTGGCTGGCTCAACAAATTAGAAAGCACCGACCCAAGGACGGACCCATGGGGCAGTCGTCCGCCCAGCGCTGGGCTACACTTCACACAGAGTACATATGGTACAACAACCACCTCACGCCGCAGACCCCACATGACTTTGGCAAAGCTAAGATGCACATTTTCTCAAATTGGGGTGTGGTGACCTACGGGGCAGGACTCCCCAACGGGCAAGGGAATACTTTTGTCTCTTTTAAGTCAGGCAAACTGGGTGGTCGTGCTGTCTATGATATCGTCCATGACAAGCCTTACTCTTGGGTGGAAGGCTGGAACAGCTTCAACCCGGGCCATGAGCACCCTGATCAGAACTCTTTCACTTTCGCCCCTAATGGACAAGTATTTGTCTCTGAAGCACTTTACGGCCCAAAGTACAGCTACCTTAACAACGTCTTAGTGTTCAGTCCATCTCCTACAAGTCAGTGTAACACTCCGTGGGAGGGTCAGTTGGGGGAGTGTGCCAAGTGGCTGCGCTGGACAGATGAGGGTGTGGGCGATGCCAGAGGGGAGGTGATTGTCGCCTCCTCGCATAGAGACACCATGTTTGTGAGCGGGGAGGCTGTGTCAGCGTACTCCCCCGCAATGAGACTAAAAAGTGTTTTCAGAGCTTTAGTTCTGCTCAACTCTCAGACTCTGCTGGTGCTCGACCACGTGGAGAAGTGGGGCGACTCGCCCGTGAAGTCCCTCAGTGCTTTCTTCCACAACCTCGACATTGACTTTAAATATGTCCCTTTCAGATTCATGGACAGATACAACGGCGCCATGATGGATGTCTGGGATGCGCATTATAAAATGTTCTGGTTTGACAGCCAGGGTCACAGCCCTGACACCAGGATACAAGAGGCAGAGCAGGCAGCCGAGTTTAAAAAGAGGTGGACGCAGTATGTCAATGTCACTTTTCCAATGACAGGCACAGTCAGCAGAGTAGCTTATGTTTTACATGGTCCGTATGTCAAAGTTTCCAGCTGTAGATTTGTCGACAACAGCAAAAATGGTGTGAGACTGTCTTTAACTATTAATAACACCGAGCGGATAGTTTCTATTGCAACAAACTACAAAGATATAGGAGCAAGACTGGCTTATTTAGGATTTGGAGGTCATTGTAAAGTTGAGGACAGGTATCAAATCACTCGATTTGGCCTTGGAACACAACTAATCCCCAAACCAATCAGCACTGATAATCAGCTGTTTGACTTTGGTTTTACAGTCAATGTAATAGCAGGAGTTGTTCTTTGTGTGGCCATAGGCTTTCTGACCATGCAGAGAAAGTTTTATGTCTGCTTCAGCAGGCTGATGCGCTACGCCCTCCTCTCTGTGCTCATTCTGTGGATTGCTGAGCTGCTGTTTGTGTCTAACAGCTGCGATCAGCTTCTCTGTGGGGTAAAATGGAAAGGTGCGGGTGCCAAAAGTGAAGTAAACAAACAAATCAGACTCTACGAGCAGCACCGGCTACCCCTCCCCACCGTCGTCATAACAACCCTTCCAGGATCTGGCTCGGAAATACTCAAACACCTTTTCTACAACAGCTCGGACTTTGTTTACATCAGGGTTCCCACTGAGCATGTGGACATCCCTGAGACGGAGTTTGAATTTGACTCTCTGGTGGATGCCTGTGAGTGGACAAGGACGGACGCCCTGCAAGGACGGTTTAAGATTATTCAGGGGTGGCTGCACTCGCTGGTTCACAACACAAAGCTGCACTTGCAGAATATTCAGTTGGCCGAGGGCAGCAGGGTCAAACCGCCCCTGAGAGTCACCCCCTCGAGGGACAGAAAGAAAAGATCCAGGAGGAGAGAGCCGGCGTCTGAGCTGAAGGGTAAACTCAGAGCCAGTCTGGACAGAGATGCAGAGTATGTCCGGGAGATGAGGCGCCATGTTGCAGAGTACCCTAACGCCCGGGTGGTCCTCAACATGCGGAGTGGAAGCTGGGCGCTCAAACTGCCTTTCATTCAGGAGGTTGTTGGACCTTCTTTGAGGACAATCTACTTAGTGAGAGACCCTCGGGCGTGGATTTATCTCATGGTTTATAACAGCAAACCCAGCCTTTACACCCTTAAAAACATCCCCCAGCACCTTTCCTTGATATTCAAGGAGGATGCTGTCAAGGACGGGTGCCCCACTGTGGCGCCAGAGTTCAAAGTAATCCAGAGACTGCTGTCCCGCTCAGAGACAAACCCCATCCTGATTCTGGCGCATCTGTGGCTGGCTCACACCGCAGGAGTGCTGAGGGTCAGCGAAAGCCTCCCAGAGGAGTCCTACCTCCAAGTGAGGTTTGAGGACGTGGTCAACTTCCCGCAGGAGACGGCGGAGACCATACACACATTCTTGGGGGTGCCGGTTTCGCCCACAGCCCTCAACCAACTTATTTTCACCACCTCCACAAACCTGTACAATCTGATGTACGAAGGAGACATTTCACCAGCCAATATCAACATGTGGAGACAAAACATGCCCCGCAAAGACATCAGGCTGATAGAGGACATATGTGGGGGTGTGATGAAGAGGCTGGGGTACACCAGGTTTACCAGTTAACTTAGTGCTGCTGGTCAGCTGATGTGGATCTGTCTTGTTTACTGTAGCTGCCAGTCTTATCAGTTCTGAAAATGTTTTGTTTTGCACTGACCTTAAAGTTTGAGATGTGTTTTTTTTTTTTGTTCTGTTAGTTGTTTTGGTGTTCAAAATACAGCAACAGATGTTTGTGAGGGAGGAATATTTTACATTAAAATAGGTGAAAGGAGCTCATGCTGTTATTGTTTCCCTCTCGGCAGCCCATCACACTTGTTGTCGCACTCTTGAATCAAACGAAACTTTAGACTTTGGCTGTCTTAGCTGCAGAGAAATGCCCCTAAAAATCCTGCATTAATCCTGTCTTTTTTGCAGCCCCCCTGTAACAGATCATTCTCTCAGAGGAGGTTTAATTCTGTATGTCTTAATTAGAGATGAAAAATGTGCAGTTTTCCCCATTTCTAATCTGTGGTGTCATAAAGATGTATATACAAAAATCTGTAACTGCTATTACTGCCGTTATTTTTGTGGGGTTAGCCGAGGGACGCAGGGATTTAATGCAGAAATGTTATGAGGCTTATTAAGACACTTATTTATCAACAGTCTTTTAATTTGTAGCTTTGGGAGAGACTTTCAAGGACTAATTTGGCTGTCAAGAATCTAATATCCAAATCCAATATGTGCTGCTCCCTTTAAAACTACAAAAAAATGCTGCAATATATGAAGAGAAACAGATGACAGCAGGGCTTTTATCACTCTAATATAGACATATGAATGATATGGATGCATTTAGATTAAAAAAGGGACTTTATTTTGAAGCTCTAAGATGTCATTACAGCTTGATGGCTTAGCACTTTCACAGAGACTCCTTTGATTGTATGTGAGATTTTTTTTATCCAAAGCTAAACTTTACTGTATACGCTCGATTAGCTTGGAAATATCAAACCTCTGAGGACATAATGTCTCGAAGAAAGAAATCTAGAAGTATTTATGGCTTCCAAAGACACATTTCCCAAAGAATCTGGGATGAATATGATTATTATAACTCCCTTTGGCATTTATTGAATTAGATCAGAGGGAAGTGCTTAATAGGGATCATTCTGGGAAAGAAAACCTGTCAGCCTTGACACATTTCTAGTCATAGCAATTTCCAAAGCATCCCCCTCAGCTACTCATATTAATCTACAAAACACCACAGCCGAGTCTTACTCTGTGTTTTATTGCTGTGCCATCTTCACGGAAAAAGACCTGAGGAAATGCAAACAGCTAAGTTTCCATTTTCTGTCGCGGTCAATCACAAATCCGATGATCTTTTTCGGGCTTTTGTTTTGAAAGAGTTCAGCGAGGCGTGGTGTGAACAGAGGGTGAATATTAAGTGAAGCTAGAGGAAGGGAAAAAAGTCAGAGACCGTTTCTACTCTGTGATGCTCTGCTCTTTGGCCTGGGCGTAAGTGTTCGCTCCTCTGTAACCCTTGAATCTGTCTTGCTTGAACGTCTCTGTACTGTAAATGGATCACATGTGACACGCTGATGGTACGCTCGGTCCCTGACTCTCTTACTGCATCTGTACTCAAGCAAAAACATGCTGTGCCCGTGTGGAAATCTCCATCTCTTCCTCAGCTGGAAACAGGCCTGTTTGTTTTTTTTCCTCTATGAACACTGAAACCCTTGACTGCCTGGAAAACCCGTTTGATGTTTGTGCTCTTTGAATGTGTAGACTTGGCAGACATGCTTTCACTTTGGTGTTGCAATCCTGTTACCAACTCTGTTTTGTATTTGCTCGTGGGGATATGGTTCCTTGCTTCTGTGGCCTTGAATTACAATCATTTTCTTTATAAGGGTTTTATTTCTGTGAGGAAGTGGAGACAATGTAAAAAAAAATAATAAATTCATAAATATATCGACACACAGTCTTTGTTTGGATGGGGTGAATTGTCTTGCACAACTATAAAAGGATGCGACACGTGACCATTTAACATCCTCCTGAGCAGCTGCACACATCCTTTATATACTCATGTTAAACTGCTATTATCTCCTGCTGCAAAAGACAGAACATAAATCTTAATTTGAACACAGTCTCACTATGGTAACTGCTAGTGAAGAAGCTACTTATGCAGATGTCTCTGCAGCAGCAAAATCTCCATTTTATTAGACATGCATGACAGAAGCCTAATTGCTGCGTACGGCTGACGCTCACGACGAGGAGGAGCCAACAATTAAAAACATGTCAGGAAATTCTTATGTCATGCTCCGCCAGAGACGGGACTTTAACAGGAGCAGGCTTTGAGGGAGCACATGCCGTGTCTCATGTCTCTGAACGGTCTCAGTGACTCAGTCATTTCATTAGTCATTTGTTCTTGATCCCTCCTGTAACAGTCTGATGCTTGGCAGCGTCCTCTCTGCGTAATCCGTCCATGCACAAGCATGGATAGTTATTAACGGAGAAACCTCAGGCAAATGCTTTGGAAGGGAGGGTTCTTCGTCTTCAAGTCTGGACTTGTATTTGCTGGAGGTTTAGTAGCCTTTTGTTGATGCAGTCAGAATCAGGGAGTTATTGGAAATAGCGGTGCATAAATAATGTCTGTAACACTCTCAGAAGAACCCAGTTTAGCTTAAATATTTCTTATTCAGATTGAAAAGTGTGTGATAAAAAGCTTAAATTGAAGCTCCATTAACTCATGCATCACATATTCAAGATATGATATAAAATTTATTTCTATATCTCAGAGGAAGATATTCTCCTTTGGCCCTTTTACATTAATCTTAAAGCCATCGCTGCTGTTGGATTACAGTTCATGTTGCCCTGAAAAAAACAAAAGAAAACATGCAGCTCTAAATTTGGTGAGTTGGGACCTAACTAAAATACTAAATGATCCTCAAAATGTCTACTCATATGTAGCCTATATGCATATTAACACAGCAGAAACATATAGAGATATTAAAACTTTCCTTTTGATTCTTACAGGGGCGCAACCAAATTAATGGTCAGGGTGGCATGGGTCCCTGGAGTCTGTTTGGCCACCCCAGATCCCACCCAAGAATCCTTTACAAACTGCCAAACTGCAAAAGTCTACTTAAGTGCTCATTGCTTATTTCAACACTATCACTGGTTAAGATCAATAACACAACAGGTTAGACTAAATTTATATGAAATTATTCACTTCCTCCAAAAACATTGGTGGTTAGTTAACATTAGCTAAACTTGTATGACATCAAGATTGGTCATATTACATTAAATATATACCTCAACACTAACGGGTTGTTTCACTTCCAGAAAAGTACTTTATAACTTTAACTTCTGATATTTACAGGGGCGCATCCAAATAGGTGGTTGGGGTGGCATGAGCCCCTGAAATCAGATCGGCCACCTTCTACCCAGAATTGCTCAACTATGATTGGATGTAAGTTTTGTTAGAGAAGGGTGGGACTGTATCACATCAAACTGCTCATAGATATGTCTGCTTTGAAATATTTGTCTTTATTTGGACTTAAAAGCTCCTGTAAGGAGTTTTCAGTTTTAGACTGAGATCAACGCTAATGCTTCTTAATGAGTTACAAAGGAGAACTGACTTTTGTGTGAAGTCATTTTAATGCCAGAATAATGAACTGTGTTTGGCTGTATAAAGACAGTACAATTAGAGTTTTAACTTGTAGCGAAGCAGACTGAAACTGATACTGACGTCTTTATATGACCTTAAAAAGCAGACTCGACTCTCAGCTATGAGGCTGATGATTTTTAACGCCTGAAGCTGCTGTGACGGGGCAGGTGTCAGCCACATGTTAGACGGCAGACTGAAGAAAACTAATTTTAAACTTTTCTTCATAGCAATTACTTACGCTTAACTGCTAAAAAAGAACAACAGGGTGAGGTTTTTGTCTGATAACTCTACTTCCATATGTTCAGATCAAGAGGCGGGTATACACTAATGTACACAAACCAAAAGTTCCTCACTGCAGCTTTAAGAGAGAAAGGCTAACATATCCAGTTTGCCATAACTGTTGACTTTGTTGTCAAGAAGACTTAAGCATTTAGTATTTCTGACCAGTTGCGCTGTGCTGACACTCTGCGCTTTTGTGATTATTAAACAGAATCAGTAGAAAATGGAAACTCAGTTTATTTATTCCTGCTTATGATTAATGATGGTTTTACTCTATTGTGGTCCAGATGCCCTGCAGCTACAAACACAGACCAGGTGTCCTGCTGGAGGAGATAAAACAGCAGAAAAAGAGATTTTTAACAACCGACAACAGCCTCAGCAACTTCAAAATATAAAACAGTTTAGAGGATCATTGATAATCATTTAAATCACTGTATGATGTGTAATATCTGTATAATTGATCACAGATCGCCTTTTAGCAGTAGTGGCACAAACTGCCTTTCTTCCTCCCTTCGAGCTAATCCGGCTAGTTCCCACTTTCACTGTAAATGCGCAGGGATAATCTCCCCCGATGAAGTGTAATGGCATCTTATGAAGAGGATATAAATAAATCTATACGTCGGAGCGTGTTTCCCATCTGAATAACTCTGTGAACGCCTCCTCCCGCAGCACAGACAGACAAATCAGCATTATGAAAAGCTTTTGATGTCTGATCACAGGAAGCAGATTTGCAGAACTAATTTAAGCTGGAAGGTTTGCACACACATTATCTTTGATGTTTGATAACCAATACATAATCATTGCATGAAATAAGGTTTTATAGAGGAAATGATGAAAAGCTGCTTTATAATCTAATTCTGCACGCAGCGGCTCGGGGAAGTGATCAAGTGGCTTTCTCAGACTATTAAGTACACGGAGGTTATCCTCACTGAAAAAGAGAGACTCAATTTCAGCTGAGTAGTCATACCCTTCCCTGTTCCACCTCTATCTTCCTCCTCTGGCGAGTCCAGGTCCCCGAGGAGCCTCTCCCTCGCCGGCAGCCATTGCTCCTGCCACTGCTCATTAATTAACCTTTGCTGCAGCCGCCATCAGTCAGAGGGAGGAGTAATCATCGATACTGTATGGGGCTATTGTGCGGCAGAATTAGCTCACAGATTGAGATTATTAGGCGTTTTAAAGCGTGTATTCGGCTTGACGTGTGCAGAAAATAGACAGTGGATGTTTGCAGCTTTCTCAAGACAAGGTGTAAGCAGCTGGCGGAGCTCTGTCTCCTATATTCAGTCATTTTCTTCTCAGTAAACAAAGCCTGTGAGGTCCCAAACATCCCACTGTTCAATATTACCTGCTGATGACACTGCTGTGTTTGGATATGGAGAAGGCGCGCATCTCAGTAAACGCTATTAATAAGAGTTGACTCGCGAGGAAATATGGTGCGTTGTCAATTTGCAGTTGGTGGCAGAGTCATTTCTGTTGTGAAAATGGGATCTCTTCCGTGCCAATAAAGCACAGCGGCGACTGCTAATGAAGCCCAGTCTGGTCTTATAGCGCAGGGAAATCAGAACAGATGAGGTGTTTTGATTTCACATACTGAGGCAGAATCACAGTTGTACATCAGGAGACACTCCTCTGGGCTTCACACCATCCTCATAGCTAATTTATTCGCCTTTATTTGTCAAAATAAGGGAATAAGAGATTATTCTCCGAACAATAAATGGGAGTGTTTGCTCTCCTTGGAGCGTCTAGTGTTATTGCTGTTAGGGTTTTAAAGCCTTTTGCACATATTGATCATTATATTTTCCATTTGTTTCATATAAACACCACTTCTCAAGCGGATTAGTCTCTGTGAATCTTCGAGCCTCACACTGCCAGAGCTCAAAACATCAGTATCACATAATTATGTAAAAGTTTATTGCTCCAGTAACTTGTTTTTACATTAATACATTTTCAAAGATTTATTACTGACTCATTCCAAAGAAGACCTATTATACTAGGGCTGGGTCGATGTGGGAAAAAATTCATCACAATATATTTTTTTCATATCAGTCGATATCGATATATATGATGATATGAAAAATGAAATTTAACAGTCCTTATTGGTAGCATGTCTTTTGCAATACAGTAAGCTACTGCATCTGTGAGGTCTTTGTGCCTCTTCAACGTTTTTTTGTAAGGTGTTGAGCTCGAGGAAGTGGACTGAATAGTCAGCTGTTTTTGGTTTTAAAGTGCTCTGTTTGCGTGTAGCTGCAGCCTGCTACTACACAGTTTGCTGCTTGGCTCTAATTCAGCTCATGATTTGTTCAGCGTGAAGCGGACCCGCAAAAAATCCCCTTTTCATTGTATTTTCATATAGTCTACCAAAACATGGCAGAATGTCGACTATTGAAAAGCATATTGACCATGACATATTGTTTTCGTTTTATCGCCCAGCCCTATATTATAAACATTTCACCCGTTTATAAGTTTAGCTGAATTAGGGTGAGTTGAAGCTCCAAAAACCTTGTATCTATTTTACAGTTATATCTCAAACTATTCAGGCCCTGCTTCAAATACATACTTTATGGTAGGGCTAGGCAATATGGCCTCCAATCAATATCACAATATATTGAGCAGTTCACCTCGATAACGATATATGGACGATAACTACTCCACAAGCTGCTCACCCCCTCCCACATTAGCTTCATCGTAAAAGGACATGAGAACATAGCACACCAACACACATCCAAAACCAACTTTTATTTATTTTTTGACACGAATATACTGATGCGGGCAAAATGACGTTGGTTATTGTCATAAATTTCGGTATCTGTAAATTTTCAGTTTATCGCCAAGCCCTACTTTATGTGCTTTTCCACTAATACAAAGTTAGTCAGCTTGTGGGTGTTACATTTTACACCATTTTAAGGTCACCAAACCACCCTGGAGTTATACCTCTGCAGAAATTGTCTCTTATCCATTGAGCCCTCCATCACCTGCTCCATTACCACATCCCTGTCACGTATATAGTCAGCTCAAAATGTTCTTGCTCACCATTTAACCGGTAAGGGCACAATATCCTCATCTTCGCCTATGATTGAGGTATATACATGCACAGGAAAATCAATCCTCCACGGCATTATCTCAGTATGTCAGTCTGACAACCAGAAAAATGACTAACTGATGCCTTTGTATGAGGAAAAGAGACCAGCAGCGTAAAGACTAATCATTTCCCACGCCTGTACTGTAAACGCTGCTGAAAAGTAGATGTTAGACAAATCTGCTGGCATCACTCTGAAAACACAGAGATGAGGGACGTTTTAGTGCTTACAGATCAGCCAAAATAAAAGCCAAAACAGGAGGAGGTTTCTCTCTCTTTTTTGACATTATGACACTGACCTCGCCACGGCAGAGCGTGCAGCCATCATTCTTAAAGACTTCACACTGTCCCTGATCATTTGTGTGTCTCAATGTCAAATGAAAGTCTGTTGAAATTGAATTTTCTCTGCATAACAACATGCCGTCGTGACCGAGGCCTCCGCTCGGAAAAACTTCATGACTTTTTGACTTTGAAAGTGGGACCCTCTCTGTATTAACCAATATCCTGTCAGCTTAACCTGCCTCTCTTGACATTTTGGTTAATCCCCTCTGTTGTTCTGTACGCCGCAGACAGTCTGCAGGGTGGACTGAGCCGCTCTGACTCTGGTGGAAATTGAGCCACTGTAGTGTTACTGTCTGCACGGCTGCTCTGTTTCTCTTATTTCAACCGCTGTGGTTTGCTGGCTGTGCGAAAAAAAAAGAGGACAGGAGTGATGTGTAAGCTGGAAAAAGAGATAAATAGACAAAAAAGTGGTGAATGATTTAGCCGATGTTCGACTTGTGTGAGTTAACAAATTGTTTTTTGTAAAGGGGTTAGCCGCTTTGTGATTTAATGAGCCATCCCTGCATATTAAAGCAAAAGGTGTCTGTGCTGCAGCGTTTGAGGCCTGCTGTTATTCCGTAGTGAAGGGCTGAATCCAGCTGGCGGGCTGACACTCAGACAGACAGACAGACAGGAGAGGCTGCTGTTTTTCCTGGATGACACACTCAGTACTCCTTCATTACTGGGATCCAGAAACCAGAACCCGCCTGTCAAAGTGCTGCCATGACCGCCGCTGCTCTCCTGAGCCACGTCTGGGTGGAGCATGTCTGCAGAGGGGATCATTTTCATGGTTTCTATCGTAAACAATGGCACTGATAGGGGGGAAACGGAGATGAATACATGTCTGAGCTTCTGCGTGGGGGCCAATCCGGCCTAATTACATCAAGCATGAGTCATTGATCTCTAATTAGTAGAATTTATGTCTTGAGGAGGAGTAACGGTCGCCATGACATTGGTCACAGTGAGCCCCGGGAATCACAGAGAAGCAACAGATTGGTGCTAAGTCTTTGGAAATGAAAGAGCGACTGTAGGATTTCTCCTCACTTACATATCCACATCGCTCCAGCTTTTTATAGAGCCGAAATGGAAAAGCTGCTTCCTACAATAAAGAATCGACAGGAGACCTGGCTGGCTTATCTCTGAAGCTCACAGTGCAAGAATCCCTCACCCAATCATTATCCTGCTCACAGATGTTATATCACCACTCTCCCACCCGGTGTTGGATATCTACACCTCTGGAATCAGTCCAAGACACATCTGAAAATTAGCTTTTCTTTCTTCTCGTTCCCTCGCAGTTAACTTTTCCCTCTCTTCTTCAAAAACTTCACTTTTCAGAGGGCCTCCATTCCCCCGCCATCGCACTGTTTTGCTCCGTGCTGCTTCTGACAACAGTGTTTTATTTTTAAAGGAGACATCTTGACACTGACAGGAGGCAGGAGACGGGGGACGTTCGTCACTCTTCTCTTATCCCCCGTGATTTTTTAGCAGCAGAGGAAGCCAGATGGTCAGATTCTCTGCTCATATGGTTGTGTTCCATGGAGATCACCATTTGTGGCCCAGCGGAGGAAAAAAGAAAAGTAGAGAGATGATGAAAAATGTTAGGAAATGAACAAGAGCAGAGCGGTAACACCTCTTCCTTCAGTGTGTGTAGAAGAGAAATTGACTCTTTGGCTCTGTGACTCATAGTAAAATTCAAACTGAGAAACTTATGTAGGAAACGACACAGCAGAGAACTAAAAGGGACTGTAGAGAGAGCTGGTATCATCATCATCATCTAGAAACAACCAGAAGGTAACCAGAGTAACAAGGTTTAGCTTCTGCAAATGATGCAAAATTGAGCATCTTTAGCAGGAAACAGAACAAACTGTCCAACCACCATCATGGCAGAATCACACACAATCAACCCCACCAACAAAACAAGAGTATATGTTGGCCATATCAACCAACACCCATATTTGATTGTTTCGACTTATATTCTGAGGTCTTAAGGGTCTGTGTCCATTTACGTATTTGTATTTGGCACTTCTCTGTATAAGACTTCTGCAGTTCAAGTGATATTTTTGGGGTATTTTTGCCTTTTTTAGATCAGCTGAAGACTGACAGGAAACATGGGGACCAGAGAAAATCGTGGCCAGGAATCAAACTTGTGACCACTGCGATGAGAGCAGCCATCTGTGCTCCTATATCTCACCATTTCACTTTTTGAACAGCTCATCTATGTCTCTTCTCTATCATGGACCAATTAAAACTAAGAACGAGGTGAGGCCTCTGATATCAGCTTTGTCAACAGTAACGGTTAAACTTAGATTCAAGTTTTCAAGGGGTGATTTCCAGGGACGCTGTTAATGCTCCTATACAATTTTAATCGTTCCTGTCTTTTCTGTGTGAAATTATATTGAAGAAAAGCAAATATAAAGCATAAAGATGAAAAGGTTACCAAGAGAAGCAGAAGTATTCCAAGATAACTTTTCTTATCTTGCATAGCAACAATAAACAATGGTGAGAAATGCTTTCAATGCAAGAAAAAAGCCATTAGTGGACATATGCTGCGTTCCAGTTGTACTCAGAAGTTGGGATTTCTGAGCTCTGAGTCGGAAATTCATCTGTCGGACGATCCTCACCAACCCTGTTTTGACCGACAACATCACCATTCAACAACAACTGACAACGTCCAACGACTGCTGACAATTGTAAACAACAGCTAACAATGGGTAACTGTAGGCATCCATCTTGGTTTTCCGACTTGTTTACTGGATCACTGTCAACTCGGGTTTAACGTCACTCCCAGCTCCGACATCAGACTTCCATGGTAACTGGAACGCAGCAGTGGGCCCCAACATTTCCACTCAGGTTTGTTGAGTCAACCCAAAGTTTATTTATTGGAAACCTCAGTGTTATATTGTGCTCTTGCTGAACTCACCCTC